TGGTGATGGAATACCCATCTCTGACAAAACTAAACAAAAAAATGGGATACAAGTGAAGGACCATTTTTGTATCTGTTTATACAAAATAGGATAGATATACAGCTGCTTTCTCTTAATTCAATGAGCAGAAATATTTGTACTAATAGTGTTTGGGCAGGATATCATGTCTGCATCTTGCACTATGAAAAATCACTACGAAGACAACAATATGCAGTGTGTTAATTATTGAAACTGTCTTATTAATCGGTTTTGAAAAATAAATAAATAAATGATGCAAGAAAATAAAGTTGTATAATTCAGTGGTTATGGTGCGCGCCCAACGCTGAGTGCCTGATTTCTAGTCTCACAACATTCTCCTCACTACCAAAACCCTGCCCCGCCTCAGGCACACCGCTCCCCTTCCCCAGTCCGCTATCCTTCTGTGTTGAAGAACTGACCCGTCCCAGGCACGTCACGAGAACCTCTCTGTCTGCAGACGTCTTCCACATCACGCTCCAGCATCGCACCTTCCGCCTTCCTCCTCTGGTTATGCAGATACCTCTTTCCTTTTTATTGCTGGAAATACTCGGTCGTGTGACAAAACCACGCGGTATTTTCCGTCATCGGTGGGCGAGCATCCATGTGGCTTCGACTTTTCCCTCACGCACAGCCCCAGACACCTTTCACCTTGACTCGCAGGCGTGGGATCGCTCGGCGTGGGCAGCTGAAGCTCGCTCGCCAGCACAACTTGCTCCAGAATCTCGCTTGCTCTCCAGAGCACTTGCGCATCAAAGCAGATTTCCCTGAAAGAAGCAGTAGAAACTGAGAAGACATTACACACCCCAAAAATCTTCATATAAAATGATTACAATAGTGTAATATAACACAAAATAACAAAGAAAATGCAAAATGTGATGAAAACTCAGTGAACTAACCTTCACTTACCTTTGACAGCCTTCGTTGGTGCTGTGAGGAGGGTCGCTGCGAGGACCCTTTCACTACCACTGGGGAGTCCCTGCTGTCTGGTGGCTCAGGGCAAGCTTCTCGTCTCGTGCAGCTCTCCTGGGGGACCTGCCAGGGACGCTTGCTCCTGTCTCCTGTAGCGGACTTTGTGGAAACACGAAGCTGCATGCTGGTAGGCAGGTGTGCTGTGGCGCGGCTGCAGCCTCGCTCGGGTGGTGCTCTCACGGAGCTCCGCGTTCCCACGTCTCCCTAATCTCGCTTGAGGAGGGGCTCCTCCACACCCCTTGCCGTCGTAAGCACATCACACATGATCTTGCAGCACCATCGCACAGTGGGAGGAAGGGCGAGGAGGGCGCTGGCACCTCTGGTGCTCAGCCCCGGCGCCGCTGGTCCTCGCGACACCGCCAGCTCGTCGCCAAAGGAAAGCCTGTGGGAAATGCTTCCTCACCGTGCCCCTATAGGGCCGTTACTCTACTATAATGCAGCGTGACAAAGCAAACACAGACTCTAACAAAAAGCAAATTAACCTGTGAAATTCAAAGTTGTATTGGACTTCTAGGTAAACAGTTTGAGAACCCACACAACCTGGCTCAGCGGCTAGGTGGACCCTTGTGCTAGACTCCCAGCTCAGTGTCCAGGACTTTCCATCTCCTCCTTCCCTCTTACTGCTGGATGTTTCTTCTGTTTCTTGGCACCTTATTAGTAGGCATGCAGTGGTATCGCGTTTGGCTTTTATCTGCATTGCCATTTTTCTGACACCTTTACATGTGCTTATTATCCACTTGCCTTGCCT